CGCAAATCTCTCGCGCGCCATCTTCGTCAAGGGCGTCCACCCGCAGACGACGCACGCTGAGCTCGTCACCGAAGCGCGCGACACACCCGACGACCCTACATTATCGTCCGCATGCGTACGCTTACTACTGCTATGGAGCTGCTGCACAAACACATCCGGCCCAGGTACTGTCGTATGAGAATCACAGTGTCTCCCCCCCGAGGTCTCCTCCCCGAGGTGCGTCGGTGGAGGCGGCGGGAGTCTCCGGGAGCGCCGCCCGCACCTCGGGGGGGAGACTCGGGGAGGAGACACTGTGATTCTCATACGACAGTACCTGGGCCGGATGTGTTTGTGCCGCACCTCAATAGCAGTACTAATCATACTCATAAGGACGATAATCTAGGGTCGTCGGGTGTGCCGCACGCCTCGGCGACGAGCTCCTCGTGCGTCGTCTGCGGGTGGACGCCCTTGACGAAGATGGCGCGCGAGAGGGGCTCGACGCCGCCGCCGCCCATCAGCCCGCCGCCGCCGAGCCCGCCCCCCATCATCAGCCCGCCGCCGCCGAGCCCGCCGCCCATGCCACCCAAGCCTCCACCCAAGCCTCCACCCAGACCCCCACCCAAGCCTCCACCCAGACCTCCCAACGTCCCGCCGCCCAGCGTTCCGCCGCCGAGCCCGCCGCTGCCGAGTGTGCCCATGCCGAGCCCGCCGCCACCGAGCCCGCCGCCACCGAGCCCGCCGCCACCAAGCCCGCCGCCACCGAGCCCGCCGCCCATCCCGAGCCCTCCGAGTGTGCTGCCCGCGCTGCCAGCGGCGGCACGCGGGTCGCCAGACCCGCAGCCGCCGCCGCCGCCGCCCAGCCTCGGGTCGCCGCCGCCGCCGCGCGGATCGCCGCCGCCGCCGCGCGGATCGCCGCCGCCGCCGCGCGGATCGCCGCCGCTGCCGCGCGGATCGCCGCCGTTGGCCGCAGCCGCGGCGCGCGGGTCGCCGCTCCCCGCGGCTGCGCGAGGATCGTCGCCGCCCGCAGAGGGAGCTGCCTCGCCTCCCTCTGCTGGGCCGCCGCCGCCGCCGCCGCCTCCGCCGCCTCCGCCGCCTCCGCCGCCGCCTCCGCCGCCGCCGTCACCGCCTCCTCCGCCCGAGATGGCGGAGACGAGCGCAGCCTGCGCGCCCTGGACGCCGTTCGTGGCCGCGCCTCGCTCCACGGCGCCGAGCAGCGCCTCTGCCGCCTGCATGCCCCCGCCCGAGAGGTGCGCCATGAGCGCGCTCTGCATCGCCGTGCTGCTGCTGAGAGCGCTGAAGAGGGGAGGGAAGGCCTGCAGCTTGGAGAGGACCATCGCCAACGAGTTGGCGGCGCCACCGCCGCCCATCCCACCGCCGCCCATCCCGCCGCCGCCCATCCCTCCGCCCATCCCTCCTCCCATGCCGCCGCCCATGCCGCCGCCCATGCCGCCGCCCATCGGCCTGCCTCCCATGCCTCCGCCCATGCCTCCACCCATGCCGCCTCCCATGCCGCCCGGCTGCGGGCGCGACATGGCGATGGCCTTCGGCAGCTTGCAGCGGTTGCACGCCATCTTGTCGGCATAGTTGTGGTTGTTGCACGAGTTGCACATCCAGTCGCCGGGGCGTGCGTTGCGGGGCAGGCGTGGGTCTCGCTGCATCATGTGGCTCTGCATCATGGGGTTGCCCATCATGTTGCCGCCCATCATGCTGCCTGTGGAGGGAGGGGGCCGAGGGATGGGAGGGCAGTGGAGAGGGGCGAGGGGCGAGGAGCGAGGGCGAGGGGGCGAGGGAGGGAGGGTGGCGGCGATGCCAGGCGCGTCTCGCCTGGCATCATGTTGTTCTGCATCATGTTGTTCTGCATCATGTTGCCTCCCATCATGTTGCCTCCCGCCATCATCCCCCTCGGCCCGCCGCCGCCGGGCATGCCTCCCATGCCCGTGCCTCCGCCCATCCCGCCTGCGCGCGGAGAGAGCTCGAGCTCAGGCGAGGCCGGGCTGCAGGCGGCAAGGTGTGTGCGGCCGCGCCTTGCATCTGCATGCCCTGCATGCCGCCCTGCATACCTCCCATCGGCATGCTCTGCATACCCGGCATACCCGACATGCCTGCGGGGGCGGCGGCCGCACCGGTCAGCCCCATCCGCGCGAGCGCCGTGCGCGCGGGCGCCTTGCATGCCTGGCATCCCGCCCTGCCCGAGCTGGCCGCCCATCGGCATGCCGCCACCGAGGGTCTTCATCCCGCCCAGGCCGCCCGGCGCTGCCATGGAGCCGCCGGCGCTCTCGCACTGGCCGCCGCCGGGGCTGCCGCTCTGGCCGTCGCCAGCAGCCTGGCCGCCGCCCGCCCCCTGCGGCTCTCCGGCGCTGTCCGACTGCGGACCGTCCGTGAGGCCCTCGCCGCCAGCGGCTGCCGCCTTGCTCAGGAGCTGATTGAGCGACGAGTCGTCGAGCGAGCGCAGCTTCTTGGCAAGCACTGTGCGGGCGAGGGCGGGATAAGTGCATGTAAGTGCGTCGCCGAGAGTGGGGCGCACGCACTTGCAGCGACGCTCGATGGCGCCACCTCGGAGGGCTCACGCTTCTCGCCCACCGCGGGCATCATGCTTTCTTCCGCTCCGCCTCCGGAGGACGAGGGGCTGGTGCGGGCTCCAGGCTCACTCACAAGACGCTGGCGAGTACAGCCACGCCTGCATTCACAGCCTTGTTATTGAGAAGAAAGTACCTCCACGGCGGCGGCGCGGCGCGGCGGCGGGCGGTGCGAGGCGGCGGCAATGCGAGGCAGCGGGCGACGCAGGGCGGGGCGGCGCGGCGGCGGGTGGTATAAATACTTATTAATTAATTAATAATGAATTAATAATCATCGGGCGGCGGCGCGGCGCGGCGGCGGGCGGCGCGGAGCGGGGCGGCGAGACCATCTGTACTGAACGGGCCAGCTAGCTGGCCTTTGAGTCAGCGCAATGGTCGCGCCGCCCTCGACTCAAGGGGCTGCCTTCCACCCGTCGCTGCTCAGGCCGTCGCCTCATCTCGCCTCATCTACTCGCGATGTGTGTGTGTGCTGGTGTTGCTATTGTTGCGATCTGATATGCGCGTGTGTGCATTGTGTAATGTGTCGATTGTGTAATAAAGAGAGACCACAATGTATTCTTTGTAAGTAAGAAAGAAAACAGACAAGCCTGGAGGGAGGGATGGGAGGACGGCGACCTTTAGGGGGAGGAAGAAGGGAGGGATTTTTAAAACGGCGAACCTTCATTCGGGAAGAAGGGAGGACGGCGGCGCGCACAGAGAATTCTTTTTTTGCGAATTGTGCATGTTGCGAGTCTCTGTCGCTGCACGGCCTCTGTCGCTGCTGCAGCCGACGTCGGCTAGGCAACTGCCGCACTGCCGGCGTGCGGCGTCGTCCGCCGCGCCGGCCGCAGCAGCATCGCTCGAGGAACTGCTCCAGCAGCACCGCATCGCGCCCTCTGCGCCGCTTGCGGCCGACGCCCTCGGGCGGCTGCCGTCCCGACTCGCATTCCTGCAGGGGCTGGGCGTGCCCGACGCGGCGGTGGCGGCAGTGGTGCGCCGCAACCCGTCGGTGCTCTCCACCGAGCCGCAGGCGCTCTCGCCCGGTCTCGACTACTTGCTGTCGCTCGGCGTCGCGGACTTGGGCGGCTCGGTGCGGCGCGCGCCCGACTTGCTGGGCTGTTCGGTGCGGCGTGACCTGGGGCTGAAGGTTGCGATCCTGCAGTCGCTCGGCGTGCGCGATATCGCGCGGTATCTCTCTCGCAACCCGCGCCTCGTCAGCATCGACGTCGAGCGGCAGATGCGACCCGCTGTCGAGCTCCTCTCCTCGATCCCGGAGCTGGAGGCACCGCCAGCGCCCTCCACTCGCCCACCGCAACGCCGCCACTCGCGGGCAGACACACGGGCCGTGAGCGGCGGCGCTCGGCCCTCGCCGTGGCCAGCCTTCGCCACGCGGCGGCCCCTCCCCCCGCCCGCCTGCCTGCGAAGACACACACGCGGGACTGCGGCACACACCTGACACACACCTGACACGCACACGGCTCTGCAGGTCGGGCGAGTGCTCGAGCAGCTCCCGACAGTCGGGCTCAACGCGGAGGCGATCGCGCCGCGGATCGAGTACTACCGCAGCCTCGGCGTGCCGCGCCTCGGCCGCTTCCTCTCTCGCCACCCGCCCCTCCTCGCCTACTCGCTCGAGGCGAACGTGCAGCCCAAGGCCGGCTGGCTCTCGAGAGGAGCAGCGCACGGGTCCACCCTGCCCTCACCCCCCCCCTCCCCCTACTCTAGGTCGCCTGGCTCAAGGAGCAGGGCTTCGGCGACGTGCCGACGCTGCTGAGCAGGAGCGTGGGGCTCCTGCCGTGGATATGGGAGGGGCGGCCCACCCTCGACGAAGCG